AGCAGAGATCTCTTTGTGAGTTTGTCTATTAACTATGCTCAAATCACCTATAGCCAAATTCAAACAAGGCCCGCGTTCGCATACAATTTTACTTGGATCACTTTGGAGACTAGTTCATGTAAAACAAACGAAGACTTAATCATAACTCAAGGCATATAGAGATTGTTTATAGTCAATTATATCAACCTCTGTTGAGAAAAACGTACTACGCAACTAAAGCCTTCATTGAGTGCATGTCTTTTCATATTATGTAGTTATCATTGTCGATTTATATCATTTAAAGATATTTATACACGGAAACGGGAAACCTTTATACCTGTGCGATTTTCACTTATCCTTTTTATCTCTTTTTAGATTAAAGAATAAATATGAACATATGGAATATATTGCATCTGTAAATCGCTGGATCGATAAATCTCCAAAATCTATATTTTCCGTACAAATGAATGTCATGACATTAAGAAAAATGCCAATTAATATAGAATAGAACTTCATTTTATCATGATCTATGCATAAAACATCTGTCGTGTTTAGGTCGTCTTTGTGATATATGTTTCAAGTCTAAATGTCTAAATTATACGTAAATACAATACAAAATATTTTAGTCACATATATATTTGTTATTCATAAAATTTATTGTTGACATTCACGAAACCGACAGTAGTTATATAATATATTTCGAAGTAACTTTATTTAATAGTCTATCATGCCTCAGTGAGATACGAAATTTGCTGGTAAAATGAGTTATCACTATAGTAGTAAAATAAATAAAAAATATTGCTTTCATAGTGACATATATTGTTGTTTTTCGAAAACCGAAAGCCTTAAGGTGGCTCCCTACAGTTTTAAGAATATTGAAATCTTGTGGTTTTGATTTAAAATTTTAGCACGAGATTTCTTGGTAAGTATAAGAAATTTCCCATATATATTAACCAACATTCTAACAGTCAGAAATTGCCCATAAGCATGACGTCATCACCGTTGTTATGGTAACAATGATGATTCAATATGGCCGACATTTTACCTATTCACGCATTTTACTCGAAAACAAGTTCGGTTACCCCAATTTTTTATTTTATAAAAAGTTTTCTTACAAAAAAATGGGAAATTTGAGCAAGTTTAAAAAAATTCTATAGAGCCAAAAAATTTCTATAACGAAAAATCACGTTTTTTCAGTTTTAATAATTTTGGCTCTGTAGAATTTTTTTTAACTGGTTCATATTTTCCATTTTTTTGTAAGAAAACTTTTTATAAAATAAAAAATTGGGGTAACCGAACTTGTTTTCGAGTAAAATGCATGAATAGGTAAAATGTCGGCCATATTGAATCGCCATTGTTACCATAACAACGGTAATGACGTCATGCTTATGGGAAATTTCTGACTGTTAGAGTGTTGGTTAATATATCTGGGAAATTTCTTTTCCTTACCAAGAAATCTCGTGCTAAAATTTTAAATCAAAACCACAAGTTTTCAATATTTCAAAAAATTGCAGGGAGCCACCTTAAGAGAAGAAAGGGGTTCCCGATTTTGCTTGCGATTATAGTTTACAAGCTAACTACCGTTGCCGACTATATTATAAGAAAGCTGCATTTCCTATTTTCAACATTTCCCTACATGCATGGGGCAATCAACATGCATCAGTCTCTGGTTGGTGCAGATTGGCAGAATTGAATTGTTGCAAACATGCCAGATTCTTATATTTATACATGTGATCTTGCATGTTTTATTCTTTTCTAATTCCTATCTCCAGAATGTGTAAACAAACCGAAACTATTCAAATGATCAACTTTTGAAAAGGAGGGTACTGGTAACAATTCCCTGAATAAAATCCCATTGTTCTATTCGCACCCCGAGCGTTCCTTTACCGCACTTGTGCCTTCAGGAGGGTAGCAGTATTAGGAATATCCATGAAGTCAATATACTAAGTCTCAAAAAGAGTCACTGATATTTACGAAATGGCCTTGCTATGCTGAGAAATGGCGGTCACTGAGCCAGTTTGGTGCATGTGTTTATTGGCCAGGGGCTGGTTGTATGAAGCCTGTTTAGCTAATAAACGGTGGTTAAGTTCAAAATAGAAATCAATTCTATCGTTTTATTCAACAAGCAAACACAATGTTTTTAACCTTAATACAAAGGTACTGTTTAAAACTAAAACTACATATTCAGTGCATAATATTCAAGTTGACTCGCTCAAGGGAGAGGTAAGAGTGTTATTTAATTTTGACTTATCCATCGTTTAAGCTGAACGGACTTGATATACAACCATATATACAACCGGCCCGACTTGTGATTAACGCGTAATGCAATGTGCGTGGGGGCAAAAACGCAAGAAGTCCGACTTGAGTGTGTTTACTGTATATATTGTCTATACTACACGTTCTATGGGAGATTTTTTAGGCATTTAGTTCCAAGCATTGAAAGATTTTAATAAAACTGTGTTGATAGTCGGGACAGTACTGGACTCTTAAATGTTGCTTGAACTCATTTTACACCGTTGTGTCTTTCAGTGTTCAGGAATTGAAATTGTAACCGACATGGTAGTCACTATAAAGTTTGAAATGAGGCCCTCTTCTTTACACCAACCTGCATTTTCTATTTTCTCTCTTAGTTACCCTATACTCGGAAGCCGGATCAAGAACTGCTTACTTCAACACGCCTATATGATTTCCGGCAAAATCACACAAATTGGGGAGGGGAATTGTATTCTAATTTTTGACTATTTTTATATCGATTTTGTTCAGAAATTTCTAATCAAAACTGCGTAAATATGTTCATGTGTTTCAGTCCTATTCAACATGCATATATCCCACAAACAACATTTTCCGCGTTCCCTCTATTGCTTGAAGCACTTAGTTTGTTTTCCAACTAAAACACACCCACGCAAAACATTTGTGGCTTAACCTTGTTGTTTTAAGCCATTTGTGTTCTCACGCGACAGCACTTTGCATACAGACCTCACAAACAACATTGTTTTCCAGGTTTGATTGTTTGTCAAGCCTGTTATTAGTTATTACTTCAGGACTAAAGAGAAACGTAAGTAAAAGCGTTGAGTTTATATAGGTATATATGCACCAATGTAGGATTTCATTGAGGTAGGAAAACCCAGAACATGATTGATTTTACGTCGTGAAATCGAGACAAAACATTATTTTCTACTATTTTCGTGTTCAACAGAACATTATTTTATGTCGAAATGACAACGAAGTGCAATAACCAATCCTTTAGTGACCCATTGCAACCCGCACTATACCCGAACGACGCCTTCTCCCACTAGTTACGTCCCCCATAGCTGATGTTAAAAGCACTGCTTCAAAATCGCGGAGGCCGGTGTGGGTTCGATTCATGCCGGTGGCAACCGAAAGGACAAACGTGGAAAGCATTAGGGGCCATCTCATTCATTGATTCGCCAAAGTGCTGAATGTCGATTTTCTAGCATTCAAAAGCGTGGGTAGAACATTTGAATTTGCACGGAAAAAGTAGGAGTATCGACTATCGACGATCGAACAGATATAAATAAATGAAAATATTAAATCCAGCGCTACTACTGAAGGTGTAAAAATAAAAAGCGTAGGCAATAGTCTATAATTGCTGCTAATAAATATGTCTTTCGTACTGTTTGAGGTTAATAAGGGTTTAGGGTGGATTTAAAAAAATATTGTCCCAGACCCAAAGATGTGTTTTGTACCCACGAAACGTGAATTCGATTGAATTTTAGTCTGTAAAATCCAGTTAATCAAACTGTGCTCTGGGGTGGAAATGTTCAAAAACGTAATCAGTGTCCTTTTTGTGTATAGTAATAACGAATTTGTGTATGATTTGTGTGCATCATGGTAAAATGTCAGTTTCATTTATAAGAAAATATCGAAACATCCCGTGCCCGAAGTTGGTCTGTAGGCTTCGCAACAATTGAACTTGGAAAGGAGTGAGTGACCAATAATCTTCTTCCGCTGTGAATGAGAATTTTCTTTGGTATTTACCTCGAGCTCGATTTGTGATTTTCAATATATAAGTATGGAAAATACATATAGAAAATAGAAATCGTGATAATAATAAGCAGTTTAGCGTATGTTTATATTGTTGATGCAGGAAATTGTATTTGCAAGAGAGCCAAAATATACGATGCTGATGGATAGATATGTGGGTCAGTCGTGTTGCTTGAGGGACTCTGTCTTCATGCACGCCTTTGCCACAATCCCATGCATATCAGTACGTCATGACGAATGTAATTGGATCGATTTCCTCTCCTAATTGAATCTGTACAGGCTCGTGTTTACGCAAAGAAATCGACGAATTTGCGCACTAACAAGAAGCTTTGGTGTTTGCAGTGCAAAAACTTTTAAACTGAAAGGTTTGTCGTCATGTTTGATGAGAAATTATGGGAAACTGTCAGGGACTAATCAGTGTAAAACATGTCGATTTTTGCAAACATTTCAACCTGCGGCGGGTCTTGATTTTACCAAAATATCTTATAACAGCTCACGTTTAGATATACTAACTACTCAGTTTAAGATGGCTTTAGTATAATTTTAATAGTAAATTTGAGTTAAAATATCCTTTGAAAATTCATAACCATGCACTATTACAATAACATCATTATATTGATACTTTGAATTTAAAATTGTGCGGCAGTAATTTTTCAGTTAAATCCGCTACCAATTCCAACAAATAAAATTTGTCAAGAATCAACTTTTCTAGAAAAATTTGCTTATCACTATACGAAACTTTATGCAGGCAGAAATAATATGCACAGAGGTCAAGTCAATCTACAACTAAGCAAAAACTGATTGGATTCTTATCAATTTTCTTGTACGTCAGCCGGATAGTTCGACGGACAGAGTAGCGGACAAAACAACATTCTAGATGCAAAAACGAAAGACTAAAATGAGCGATTAATAGATTAACTTCAATGAAATAAACTCATATAATGTTTCAACCGGAAACCCATTCATAAATCTTTTGTGTACACTAGTATCTCGTTACCATAGCATCGTGTAATAACCAAAGTATCAAGTGAAAACTATTGAAATACCTGTTATATAGAACATATACTAACAATTACAAGGTTTAAAATGTCTGCTTTTGATACTCCTCGAAAGCTATCGTTCACCTATCCAAGCGAGGAACAGAGGAATCAAGCCATTGACATTATGCGACCGTCCGGCTTGTCTTCACAGGTATATTCATAGCGTGATACACGACTTTAAATGTTTTCACCGAATGTATGATGATATCTTACATTTTCACCCGACATCGCGTATAGTAACTGCGAATAAATGACGTCTTTTGTTTTAGGTTTATAACAGACAGCAGTTGCATAAGCGAATCTGTGAGGTATGTTAACGCTAGCGCTAGCGCTGTAGACACTCGTGAAGAGCCAAAATTGCATGATTTGCATATGTTAAAAAGTCTAAGACCGTAAAGTGATAACATTGACTCTTTGAGTGATGATTGAATCAAATGAATATGTTGTACTTCCAACTATAGCTATATTGCTATAATGAATACGTTCACTTGGGGAATATCCGTTGCTGGTAAAATGTAGCTTGTTGTGTGCGCTTAATATGCCAACTTTCATGGCTGAATTAGTTGTGTCAAAGCTAGACGACTGGTTGTTTATACTGACATAGAGAAAACAAAATCATGTGCATGTTCATAAGGGTCCATCTTTGAATATGGAATTAAAACCTGAGTTTTAGCCAGCCGAAAATCACAGATATATATTTTGCTATTTCATCACCCTTTTATCAATAAATACAAATGCGGCAGTTGATCGACAAGTTGTCAATTGCTTGTTAAACAACTGGCTTCAAAGTTGTTAAGCCAACTGAAAGTTCAGCATATCATTACGACCTGCCACCGTATAGCCGTTTGTTCAAAACCGGCTTGATTAGGCCGAACCTGGGTTAAATTTTACTTTGGGAATTCGAATCTTTAACAAAAAACTTTGCTTTGAAATTTGCCTGCGTTACGGGCTGCGGGTCGACCCTGCACGAATTCACCCACTGAAAGGGTCAAGATTTGCAATTAAATCTTTAAAAGCGGGTGAGATATTTTATGGATTTTTAACATTCGCAATAGAACTAGAAGTTGGTCTTCTCCTTTTTTTAGGCAGAAAGGGAAAGTGATATTCCAATGTTAAGCAATGAAAGTTATTTCAAAGCTCAAACTAAGGTTAGCCAAACGTAGTTTATTTTGAGATTCTCAAAATATTTTAAAATGTCAGGTCATTTACAAGGCACGATTTTATAGTTGTGTACTACGGTCACGCCGTCTCGCGCTTGTTTTATTCGCGAGAATCGTCGTATACAACAACTGAATTGCAGTGGATAAAAATAAGTTATTCAATAGTTCCGCACTTGTTAAAGAAAATTAAAGAAAATTCATTAATTCCCCAGCGTTCACAGCCATCGACGTACGACCGTATAAATCACGTGACCTGTGGATACGATCAGAAGCTTCATCGAGACGACAGAGCATTCGCCAAGTCACGTGGCTTGCACGTGAACAAGGAGGTAAGGAAACTTGAGAACTGATTTTGTAGACTGTAGTGGCATCGTGGCTAGCCATTTGTATCGGTTTGTTTAATTTTTGTGACATAATTTGTTGATGATGATGACATAGGCAAATATAGTCGCTAAACCGGACCCCTGGATGATGAATGAACTCTATATGAACTGGAACGATAACTTGGTTGCAAAATTTGAAACTAATTTGAAGATGCAAAAGGCTTGAAAATGGCAACCAAATAGTCCTCATTTTTCGTTCCAGTCTTTATAGGATTCACTCGATAGAATCCATTGTGTTAACCATGTATTCAGTAAAACTGGTCCAATAACCTTTTTGTACCCTTTAGTTACGAAAACGGTAATATTGCTTTTGTAAAATGTGTGTAATATATTTAACGGCATGCAGCTAGTTCAAGATATTGAATTTACTGTGTATTGCACCATAGGAAGAACAGTTCTAACTGACAGAGATGTCTGTTTTCGTGTGTTCTTTCTATGATATAACTCGGATTTTTCGTGTAATGTAGCATTATATGAACGTGATAGTATGAAATTTTTCACCACAGGCGTTTATTTTCTTAGGAAAAATCCGTATGTGTTCCCTCTCTATCGTCCTCAATCTACGGTCATCCATCTAGGGAACCGCTCGAAGTTATCGATCGTAAACATTTTTCTGTACAAACTTGTAAGAAAGATTTTTTAAGAGTCGGTGGAACTAACATAGGATCTAATCCTGACCTGCATTAACTTGGTGCGTTTTTCATTGCAAAAAACTCTTATAATAGCATACAGAATATGGGTTATGGGTACTCCTTGCTCGTCTTTATCCCCATCTATGGACAACATGGACAACACCGAGTGAAAACCAGTCTTTAAAGACAAACATGTATTTAACAGAAACAATTAGAAACAACAAGAATTAAGGAGCGTTCAAGAAGTTCCGGTGGAACTACATTGATTCACAAACTGATTTGTATTTTCTCGCATCCTCAGGGTGATAACATAACATATCATACCATTACTATAATACTGCTTTAGCAGAGTTTTAAATTTAAAAAAAATATAAAGGCTAACAAATCGATAACTATGAAGGAAACATGCATGGATACAGTGCATGCAAGTGACTTTTTCTGCTCTTAAAATGTATGTTCGCGCAATTTTTGTTCCCTGTACTTTTAAACTATGGATCTGAGAAAAATATGGTATCAACATACTATACACTGGAATTTTTCATCAACCCTTTAATTAATCAAGTAAACTGGACAGGTTACATTTAATAACTGCTTAATTAGACCATTCCAGTTTTATTTTCTACCCGGAGGTCCACGGCTGAAAAGAAAAAGGTTTGCGTTAAAATATTGTGGAAAAGAACTAATAAACCAAACCTCGAAAGTTCTTATTCTCAAGTACTTTAAAGTTAAATTTATAGTGCTGGATCCGGAAATCCAAACACGGAACACAAAATAAGTTGATGTAGTTTAAGAATTGGTAAAGAATATCGGCATAATATATAAAAATACATACCAACGGCATTCCTGATATTCTGGACAAAACCTTTCACATTCATGAGTGTCAGGAGGACAAAGTTCATTTAATACACAAACCCCCAACAGAATAACAATCTGCTGAAAGATGAAAGCATGCATATAAAAAGTGGGAGAGAGAGATGCACATAAACGGTGGGTAACATCTGTGCCTAAAATTTGAAAAATCTAAATGAAAATCAGTATCCTTTGTCACGCCTTTCATCAGAAAATTTCCCTTCGCTTTTCAAAGACAGACTTCTTATTTGTATATACCCTAACCAAATAGCGTCCCACCATACTCTTGCTTTATGACCCCTCTTCCTTAGTTCAAAATAATACCTCCTGGAGATTTACGGGCATCAACATCAGAAAATGCCACGAACGAAAAGTATCAGGAACAGACAAATATTGAGACGGAAATCCATTTTGGTAGAGAATATATCTACAATACGTATAGATGAATAGCATAAATAAATGAGAAAGAATTGAAAATAGTAGCCTAACATTAATTTACTCTAAGTGAAAACTGCGAATTACTGATACGCCGGTCAAGTAATCTTCTTAGAATCTGGCTGTAATTTATACTCCGGGAAAATTTAATTTTCAGACGAGCAAGTCTAAATGTAAGAAACTGGAAAAAATTCTAATAAATATCCCAACATTCAAATACTGAAAGTTTACCTCAGTTTGTAGTCTGGTAACAGTAAAGATTTCAAAACTCTGCCGAGAGCAGAAACTTCTGTTCGCCAATAACTTAGTGTTCTATTGACCCGAGTATATTATTATGATATTCATTGGTGAAAAAATGTCAAAAATAATGCAGTTTAACACATCACTGTGTCGGATATTAGTGTCTCGGCTGTAACAGGGGCGGACTGGCCTATACATGATTTACCGGGAAAACTAAAACGGGGGCGCCATTTGTAGCTCTAACATGAGCAACAGTTATTGTAAATACGTGTTGCTGCCATATCGAATTTAAGATTTGACCACTTGCCAGATTCACAATACATGATTTAGATCAGATTATCTTTCCTGTGCTTTACTTGAATGGTTTTATCATTTCCTCCATAATTTTCTCCAAAATGGGTCGCTAAACGGCATGTGAATCAAGGGCGCACCGGGAAATTTCCCGGTATCCCTGTGGGCCAGTCCGCCCCTGGGCTGTAAATTAAAAATATCGATCAGTAACGCCCTATCCGATCGCCGCCAAATATATCGAATTTTCCAGAGTAATGGGTAATATGAGTAACCTGCGAGCCTGCCCATAAAAAAACATGAATATATATCTAAAAGTACATGATTCTTAGCATTCTGGCTAGGATTTTAAATTTGATTTAAATAAGTTCTCAAACAGTTGATGAACTAACGCGTAAAATTTTGAGCGAATATTGGTTACTTAACGGTATTAACCGCGTGGTATAAATTTTGCAAATCATGTTGCATGCTTTTGTCAGCCATGCATAAGAACCTATACCGCTCTAAAAATCTTTTCAGTAACGAAAGTAAGCATTCTTAGAACTGATCGATATTATGCCGTCAGTCCAAGGAGCTGTAATAAACGATGGTAGCCCAGCCCCATATGATAATTTTTTTGTATATTAATTTTTTCATATCAGCGGACGGAACTATACACTATAGTCTATACACAAACTGATTTACATGTCCTCGCATCCTCAGGGTGATAACATAACATATCATACCATTACTATAATGCTGCTTTAGCAGAGTTTTAAATGTGGAAAAAAATATAAAGGCTAAAAAATCGATAACTATCAAGGAAACATGGATACAGTGCAAGACTAAGCGGTACGTGAAGGAGAAATAATACTTGTATTTGTACACAATATATGCATGTATACTTCATGTCGTATCTACATGTTAACTTCCATCTCATCATTTTCACGAATGGAAGTTCAATGGAAGTTCGTGGTGAACATATCGTACAGGCTGTATTACAGATGTATATATAGATGTATCTATATAGATGTATTTTGAATTTTTCTGCTCTTAAAAATGTATGTTGGCGCAATTTTTATTCGATGTACTTCTAAACTATGGATCTGAGTTAAAGTTTATGTTTAGAAAAATAGAAAACGTGTGAAATTTATGTGAAGTATCTTTGCCTACTAGCTAGGGTTATGAGCAAAACCTTTGCGCAGAAGATGCTTCCAAATGGTGGCGTTAGTTGTAATATAAATACTATACACTGGAATTTTTCATCAACCCCTTTAATTAATCAAGTAAACTGGACAGGTTACATTTAATAACTGCTTAATTAGACCATTCCAGTTTTATTTTCTACCCAGAGATCCATGGCTGAAAAGAAAAAGGTTTGCGTTAAAATATAGTGGAAAAGAAATAATAAACCAAACCTAGTACCTCGAAAGTTCTTATTCTCAAGTACTTTAAAGTTGAATTTAGTGCTGGATCCGGAAATCCAAACACCGAACACAGAATAAACGAATGTAGTTTAAAAATCGGCAAAGAATATGGGCATAATATATAAGAATACATACCAACAGCATTTCTGATGTCCTAGACAAAACTTGTCACATTCATTAAAGCCAGGAGGACAAAGTTGATTTGGAGGGAAACACAAACCCCCAACAGAAGAACAATCTTCTGAAAGATGAAAGCATGCATATTAAAAGTGAGAGAGAGATGCACATAAACGGTGGGTAACATCTGTGCCTAAAATTTGAAAAATCTAAATGAAAATCAGTATCCTTTGTCACGCCTTTCATCAGAAAATTTTCCCTTCGCTTTTTAAAGACAGACTTCTTATATGTATATATACCCCATGCAACCAAATAGTGTCCCACCATAATATAATACTCTTGCTTTATGACCCCTCTCCCTTAGTTCAAAACAATACCTCCTGGAGCTTTACGGCAATCAACATCAGAAAATGCCACGAAAAGAATCAGGAGCAGACAAATATTGAGACGGAAATCCATTTTGGTAGAGAATATATCTAAAAAATAACAATACGTAGATAAATAGCATAAATAAATGAGAAATAAAATCTATATATCATATATAGTAGCCTAACATTAATTTACCCCAAGTGAAAACTGCGAATTACTGATACGCCTGGTCAAGTAAACTTCTTAGAATCTGGCTGTAAGGTTTTAGCCGCATGGCGCATATCTTATATAATATTAGATTAACTTTGACGGGCATTGTGGTGTATTATACGGGCTAAAATGATAAATTTGCCGGGCTAAAATATATTTTAGCCCGCTGATCTAAGCCAATCAGAAGAAAGGGAACGTTGTATCCAACCAATCAGAAGTAGGGGTTGTTTTTACATTGCTGCTAAAAATTCATTTCGTATGCTTTCGATTTGTCGGTTTGTTTATGTCAGTGTTACTGTTATACTAAAATAGTTTAAAATGGCAGAATTTACCGAAGAAATGTGTTCCCAATCGTCGCAGTTGGATGAAGAAGAGCTGCAAAAACTCGAGGAGGACTCAGTACCGAAAAATACGAAAAAACAAACGTTGTGGGCCATTAGTAAATTCGAGCAGTGGTGCCAAAGGAGACGGATTGTTTGTGACCTTGCTGTCGTAGACGCTACTGAATTGAGCGGTATTTTGAGGAGATTTTATGCAGAAGTAAAAACCAAAAAGGACAAAAAGGATCTCACACCAAGTGCTTTGACTGGTATTCGAGCAGCTATTCACCGCAAAATTACAAGCCACCCCATTTCAAGACCCATCAACATACTAAAAGATCCCGAATTTTTGCAAGCGAACAAAATGTTCGAAGCTGTTTGCAAGTCGTATTACAAGAAAGGAAATCCGAAGCCAAAGCACAAGAGCCCAATCGAAAGTGGAGATATGCAAAAACTAAAGTCTTATTTTTCGTGTGAAAGTCCTGAAAAGCTCGTTGAGTTTGTGTGGTTTAGTCTGTGCTATTATTTGGGCAGAAGAGGCAGGGAAGGTTGGCGTGACCTGACGAAAGATTCCCTCGAGTTTAACAAGGACGACCAAGATAAAGAATGTGTTATAATTAAGCACACAGAGCAGACCAAGAACCACCAAGGCGGCTATAAACAAAAAGACCAAGATTACTCAGATGTAAGGATGTATGAAATACCAGGTTCAAAACTAGATCCTATAGCTGCACTAAAATTTATGCTCACAAAACTTCATCCGGATTGTAAAGCACTTTTTCAAACTCCACTGCTAAACTTCGATATGTCAGGGATTTGCTGGTTCAAGAACGAGCCAATGGGAAAAAATACAATTTCTCAATTAATGCCCAAGATATCGAAAAAGGCAGGTCTTTCGCAAGTCTACACCGCACACTGTGTACGGGCCTCGACTATAACAAGTCTGCATCAAGCCGGGGTGGATGCCAAGCAAATTTGCGCCATTACGAAGCACAGAAACGAACAAAGCTTGAATTCTTATATCAACGATAGCTCAAGTTCACAGAAACGTGTTTGTTCCGGTATCCTCAGTCGTGCACTTACATCAGGCGAATCTCTGGGTTGTGAAGAAAATGCCCACATTACTTCGGTCAACGATACCGGATTAAATGTCAGTCTGTCTTCATCCTCAAACGAAACCCGTTCAGTGCAGGAAATTTTAGCGAACTGTCAGTTTAACAATTGTGTTATTAATATTAATTCTGCTAAATGACTCTAGTTATTTTTTAATGTTAAGAGAAGCTGGAATGAAATTGTTGTTATTTTGAACTGTTTAACTATTTTCTACTGCAGTAGAATTTTATATACTTATAACGGTACAATGTTGAAATAAATCTGCAAGTATTGTCGCCAAATTGAATGAAGTGTTTCCCCATTGCGTAGTTTTTTTATATAAAAATTGCCCTTTAAAGTTAATATAATAGTAATAGAGTTGATGTTCTTGGGCATAAATGTGTTTTTGGCCCTCCTCGGAACACATTTTAACCCTCTCTACGCTCGGGCTAAAATGAGTTCGGAGTCGGGCCAAAAACACATTTATGCCCGCGAACATCAACTCTATTGTTA